CATGATGTCATATGTCATTTATACCATCAATACCGATAAACATGAAGGTGATCCCTGCAACAACAGAATGTAGACACGAAATACATAAACACGATCGTTTGCAGACAGAGTCGGACCCTGGTGTCACGTGATTAGAATACCTGAGATGCTAAATACTATCACTTTGCACGACAGACAGGTTTAGCCTTATACATCGATATTGATGATCGATTTGACCTTTGGTAACCTATATATTGACATTTGACTTATGATTGGTATGTTAGCCTGATTGATACTGATGANAAAATGGTACAAAGGTTTTTTCCCCCTTTTTCAGGTTGAGGTATGTAAACGTTGATGATGGCTATTATGGTTTAAAGGTAGTACAGTATATCGTTACGTCAGTCAAAATGCTTTAAAGAGATTGAATGATTATTCAGTAACCTGGTAGAATCAGCAATAAATAGTATAACTGTTTTTGTGATGACAAACTATAATATCTTTTTACTGTCATTATACTCTTTAATAACGATACACGCTCTAAAAAGATGTTTTTTCTATTCACCAGATGCAGCTCTTGTCCGCTCACGTTGATGGATCGATGCGATTCTCCGGCAAAATGGAAGGTAAGAATCGTTTTTATATTTCTGGTTAAATGTCATCTGTGATATAATCATTTGGAATCAGATCAGAGAGGTAGAATACGAATCCATTACACACGTAAACTTATTTAGCTCGAATTAATAGAAACAATACACGATGTTTACCGAAATTTAACTAAACCACAATTGTATGTGCGGGTGGGTCTTTTAGTCTTTTAATTCCTAGTAATGTTTATGAGTATTTTAATATTCAAGTATTCATCTTACACAATTAAAATTAAATGCGTGTCTTTTACTTGCACAATGTTTGTATTGTCTGTAAAGGTGTTTGTGGGGTATGGGTGAGTTGGGAGGGGAGGAGGGGTGTAAGTGAGTATAAATATGATATAATTATAATGCGTATATTTTTCAGGAGGTGACAGTCCAGATCCAAACAATAACCACAACAATCAACCTGGTATTGGTCATTCGCCATCATAAGTGATTGTGATCACATTTTTCCCGAGTTGACGACTGTATCGGGGTGCTGCTTGGGTTTCAGTCGTAGAACTGATTTTTCAACGATGGTTAAACCTTCAGTGCAAGTGAAAGAAATCTGTATTCTGAACATGATTTAGCTTATTTGAAATCAATCCAGGGAGACTTTGAACGTCAAGAGACCAATCGAACAAAAAGAAAACAGATATTTTGACAGAAATGTATATCAACATTTTTTGAACAACGATTCGTACAAACGTTGGAAATCTAGAACTTAGTATGTGGCAACGGTTAGGAAATTCTTCCAAAAATACATAAGAAATCCCGGAGCTTTTGTTTTAATTCTTTTTTTATTACAATCTTAAAACATGCCTTTTTTACAATGCGTTCCAGCACATTTATACATGTGGACTCGCGTTTACTTTTTCATTTATAGCTCATGATTGACAAGATTTTTTAAATTTCGAATTGGATATAGGAATATGATTGCTACCTGCACGAGCATGTGTTCCGGGTGCTCCAGTTTCTACTATAATACGTCCTAAATACGCATCTGTTCCCGTCAATAAGGGGAATTATGCAAGTAATAATTTGATTCATCACTGTTATAAATTAAACTTTAAAACGCTAATTATTTTCAAGATATCTTACTTTCTTTCTAATTTGTCTTAATGGATATAAGCAGGAAAATCATCTCCAAAACTGTCATAAAAACATAGGTCAGCGTACCCGTATTTTTGAAGCCAAAAAGAATCAAGAAACATTTTGCTGTTGAAATAATAAACTGATATTGAAATTTGTAGTTTCTGGTTTTTTTTCCATTTTCACAATGTAAGATAAACAACTCTTGTTCTTTAAGAAGAGAAAAAGGAGTTATATCGTTTTTCAAACGTCAAATTCAATTAGGATGCTAAAAAAGGCCTCGCATGTTCATTTGATGTACGTTAAAATTTAATTTCATGTTTTGACCAAAATAAATTTTACAAGAATTCCAAAGGAGATATTCTCCAACAATTAAAATTGACGATCAAAACTTTTATGAAGATTTTTTTCAGCGACGGAAATGTGTAACAAGAAAGAATTTGATTTCCGATATGAACTAATTGTATAATTTGTAACCTTAATTGCAGCTTTTCTATATGAAATAAAGATGAGAGTTGCAACCTAATGAGCTATTATCCTTTAACTACATTTTGAATACATATCATCAATAAAAGTTTCAAAATTAATTTGTTGTCGATTTCTTTATTCGTTGTATTTGCTATAAATTTTCAAATGCCTGGTTAAAACGTATTTTCCTTCTTTTAAAAACGAGCAGGATATATTGAAACTCATTTACGCTTTTAAGCATCGAATTGTTACAATCCGATGTCGACAGATGACGTGGGGACTCTTTAACAATGGTTTATCACGGTAGCGTGACATATGACTATATAATACATATTATATTTAAAGATAAAATAAAATCTGTTTTTATATGGGAGGATAACAGTGTGTATCTCATTCTATTTTAGTATACGCATACTGTGAGAAAATCGTATTAAGCATACCAAAAATATGTAAAATACGTTTGGGTGTACAATATTATCCGTGTTGCATAGGCAAAATATTGAATTTGTGATTCCCTAGCCGTCATGTTGAGATATTTCTTCCGCGATCCATCACGCCTGATTATTTCAATAAGGTCTGGTCTCATTCAGCAAGAAGTAGTAATTCAAATACAGCTAGTACTAGAGACATTGTCAAGTAAAGTTTTCATAATGTGAAAGTGAAGATGTTCATTTTCGTCGATATTTATTTGCAAGATATTTACCAAAATTGAAAGCTTACTACTAAGCTGTACGATAAGTATGGCTATTTCGATTTCTCGGTCGTTAATATTCCCTTTCTTAATAATAACGTCCTTGCTTCCCCAACCTACGGTGTTTATAAGTCGCAGTTGATTCGGCATTCAAGAGATTGCTCCGAATATCCCGATTTCAGTTATCGACTTCTGACAGACAAATTTGCAACCCATGGTTTCCAAATATGCAATTTTATAGATATCATAGACAGGTTCGGTGGTCTCAATCAAATTCCCATTGAGAAATGTGGTAGCTGTTTGTTTGTGTGATATGAATTAAGGTCGATGTATTTTATTATGCCCATTAGTGTGTGTTGATAATTCGTTGTCATTTTCCCGGTTTTTCGGTATAAGGACGTGACATTACATGGATTTGACAAAGATTTAAATAGCGGCTGTCGTCGATGAAACAAAAGACACGTACTTCCCTTCTGGAACATCCAGCAAATGTCGGTTAAAAGTTCTGTAGTGCTAATATTACTTGCAATTGTTACTTATCCAATCTATTGCATCTTTTCTCCGCGTGAATCTTTCTTTATACAGTATAGATCTGAGTAAGATTATTTGGGTGTCTATAGCTATCAAGGATAAATCGTTTTGCCAGATAAATGGTGTAGTGCTACCACACAATGCATCTGGGAACACCAGCAGAGT